AATAGACAAGAAATTCCTGCAAATCAACGATAGAACAATAACTCTGATGGAACAATGGGCAAACAATATGAAAAGACAATTTACAGAACTTAATCTCTAGAGGATAAAAACTTGAAAACTGTTGGCAGAAACAAGAAAACAGAAGACGCCTCATAGGTGTGGAGAAAAGGGAACCCTCATACACTGTTTGTGGGAATGTAAATTAAAGCAGTCAGTATGGAAAACAGTATGCAGGTTCCTTAAGAAACTAAAAACAGAGTTGCCATATGATCAAGCAATCCCATTCCTGATCATATATCCAGACAAAACCATAATTCAAAAAGATACATGTACCTCTATTGTTCACAGCAGCCCTATTTACAAAAGCCAAGACATAGGAAGACATGTCCATCGACAGATGAATGCATAAAGAAGATATCGTGTGTACACACACACACACACACACACACACACACACACACAATGGAATACTACTCAACCATTAAAAAAAATAGTGAAGTAGGGAGGGGACATATGTATACCTATGGCTAATCATGTTGAGTCTGACAGAAAACAACAAAATTCTGTAAAACAAGTATCCTTCAATTGAGAAATAAATATTTTTTTAAAAGAGTAAAATAATGCCATTTGCAGCAACATCAATGGACCTAAAGATTATCATATTAGTGAAGTAAATCAGAAAAAGAGGGACAAATACAATATGATAACACTTATATGTGGACTCTAAAATATGACATAAATGAACTTCCACAAAACAGACTCACAGATATAAAGAATATATCTGTGGTTGCCAAGGGGGAGGTGGGGTGGAAGAGGGAAGAACTGGGAGTTTAGGATTAGCAGATACAAACTATTGTCTATAGGATGGATAAACAACAAGGTCCTATGATATAGCACAGGGAACTATATTCAATATCCTGTAATAAGCCATAATGGAAAAGAATATGAAAAAATAATATATATATACATACACATATATATGTGTGTGTGCATAACTGAATCACTCCACTATATAGCAGAAACTAATATACCATTATAAATCAACTATACTTCAATAAAATAAAAAAAATTTTTTAAAGCCTCATGAATTGCTGGTGAAAGTACAGACTGGTATAATCACTCTACCTTGGTCAAAACCTTAGTTAATAAAGAAGTGCTCCTCTGCATTGCTTTATCCTTGGTTCATATATTTCTTTTGAGGACTTCACAGGGAGGAATGGTTGCCCACTCAGTCAAAAATTGTGGTTGATGGGAAATTGCCATTTATTTAATGTTTGGACAATGTTTTGTGCCAGTGTTTTAAAGTATCATTAAAAAGAAAGAGAGCAAAGCCTTGTCCAAACCTATGCTAGAAGGGTACAGTGGGAATTTTTGTTTCCCTGCTTTTCAGACTAAGTGGGCATTGCATTCGTATCATGTGTGATTCAGGCAGAGAGAGATGGTCAGGACCTACAATGTCTACCTAAAACCCAAATCCTATGCTAGACCAACCATTCCTCTCTGTGAAGGAAAGAAGGGTTTCCAAACAGTTAGGGATCTTGGGATTTCAGCAACCCCAAAGTATCACAGGTGAATAATCATACAGACCTGCTTTTCTCAGCCAAAGGGAAATACAGTTACTTTTTATTGAAGGAAAGACAGTTTAAACCTAGACACTGAACAGAGCTGTCATTGGAAGGAGATGAATTTTAAGTGTGAAAGAAAGGGCTCTTCCTGACTCCTGAGGTTGACCTGAGCAGGCCCCAGGAGGAGGAGTAACAGATTGAGTCAAACCCCATAAAGGGACAAGGATTCCCTGTGGATTCTCCCTTCAAGAAAGAGCTAACGGTGGCCAGAGACAAAAAGAGAGAACTGGAAGTGTCACCGACTCTACATTCAAACTCATGTTCAGCACTCAGGGTACTTGCAGAAGCCTACTTCCAGACCAGGAAACTGAACAAGATCTCTGACAGACTGTACTAAGGTAGAGAACAGGAAAAGTATGTCACAGCCTGATTAAGTCACCATTGCCAAGGTTCAAAACTCTTCTTAAAGTTCCCAAAGATGTATGATAAAGAGCTACTGCACCACTCAGTCATGACTTTTTTTCTCCTTAGGAATTGGCTAATTAGGTGACTGTTACTCAAATACTTGATACCAAAGGTTATTCATTTAAGTTGTCCCTGGTCTCGACCAGATGGCTATTTCCTGTGCTGATAATGCCACTGCCTAGAAAGTGGTAAAAGTTTAGCCTTGAGAGGCTGTGGAGCTGGACCTAGAAAAGGGACCCAGGTCTTTGGCCCATTCTCTCTCAGGGGGCTGAGGGTGATCCAGATCCATGCTGTCTTCCTAGAAGAAACTACTGTGTAGGTCTAAGATGCTCAGAGAAACTTTTCTCTGCATGCAATGGTAAGTACTTGCTGCAGACAGCTGAGGTTACTTGCTCACTTACCAGAGAAATTGGTAGTTACAGTAAAGATATGAATGTTTCCTGGGAAAAGAGGGATATACAATGCATACTGTAATATATAGCATTTGCTTCAGGTTTAAAAAAATATATTAAAACAAAAATAAATAAAAATCCCTCTTCTGCACATAAGTGTGAATTAGGATTAATAATTCATCTGTAACTAGAAGACAAAGCAAAGAACCTTTCTAGAAGTCATAGGAAAAGTTTATGATGTTCTTAAGGTTATGGTTTGTTTCAATAACAAATTTCAAACCCTTAAATGGTGCAAAAAGCACTAACATCCTAACTGTAACCAGATTTTATATTATCCAGAGAAGAGAAGCTGGTTGAAATATTCTAAAAACACCATGATTTTTAAAACAGCAAATTGCAATTTTCCTAAATATCAAGAGGGCAAGAAATGAGAAACAGCCATGCGGTTTCACCAACTCTCTATTTAGAGGCTAGCAGGAAAGAGAAATTGGTACCAGATACTGAGGGAAGGATTAAGGCTGTTCCCTCAGTCAGGGCCAGTAAGGAAGCAATATAAATAACAGTAGGATAGGAAGACCATAAAAAGAGTAAGGAAAACACTGCATACAGTGGACTTGCAAAACACTCAATGATACTTACTTGCAACAGAGATGGAGGGAATAGATGACAAATCAAGAGTAGGTCTGGCATCAGAATTTCCCAAACAAAGAGCAAAGTAAATTACTAATATCCACCCCAGGCATCAATTCTGCCATCATCTCCATCCATCAATACTTCCTTGCCCTTCTATTGGTACCAACCACTAATGAGAAACTGAGGCATCTTAACCCTTCAACTTGGAGCCTGGGGGAAAAGAGGCTACTGAGGTCTGCCAACTTCAATCACCTGAGCAAGGATTCCACAAAGTAGTTTTGGTATAATTACCCCATCAGTTCCAAAGTACTTCTCCCCTTGGCTTTGTCCTTCAAGTATCTCTCTCTCAGTGACCCTGTTGGTAAATGACTTAACTATTTAGGGTCTTCTCACAGAAAAGACATGACTCACAGTATCGATGCCATTATGATACACATGTACTCTCAAAAGAGGGTCACAGAATTCAACTATTTTTAAAAGAAAAAAGAAGAAACATCAGAAGAATGAATTTTCAAGGAATAACATCCAAATGAAACTGGCTGGGCCGTAAACAGTGAAACCACTAGTTGTCTATAAACAGGCCACAAAAACAAAAAGAACCTGGGTGTCCTCAGGTCAGCACACCTGGTGGGGCAGTGAAGAAGTGGCCTCCTCATTCAGACAGAATATCAAAGCTGGAAAGTCCTTCTGAATGAGCAGCACTTGGCACCAGAACATAACACATGCTTTGAGAAAACGCTCGCTGCCCCAGATCACTCCCTCATTAGCAGTGGAGACACAGGGCAACCCTTATATGGAGTCACTTCCTGAAATCACCTCCAACTTTCTTCAGGAGTCAGAGAACTGTGCTCACCAGTCTCTATCACAGTGTGTCTGCTCAACATCCTTCTTTAGTAATCTTCTGGTATTTCTTCCAGCCTTTCATGGGAGCTGTGCCAGAAACTTCTTCCTAATTAAAAAAACCTCATAATCTAGTTGGCCTAGCCAGGTCAATTTTTTCCATTTCATGACATATATAAAACTCAATCTGGCTAGAAAACATATTCCCTGCGCTTAAAACCTTCTAGAAATCTATTCATTGAAATATTCCAATTTTTGCTCCTTTCCTTTAAGTTTCTCAGAGTGCACTCAGGTAGGGCCTTTGGTCACAGCTCCTCCCCTAAATGTCTGCAATTGCTTTTTCAGCATGCAGGGGACTCATGGTTTAAATTTTGATCAGAGAAAATAAGACTGGCTTTTTTAAAGGCTTACAATCAAAACACTGTAAGGATCATCTACTTATCACATGTAAGGTGATCCATTCCCACCACTGGGCTTCCCTGGTGGCTCAGATGGTAAAGAATCTCCCTGCAATGCAGGAGACTCAGGTTGGGAAGATCCCCTGGAGAAGGGAATGGCTACTCACTCCAGTATTCTTGCCTGGAGAATTCCAAGGACAGAGAAACCTGGCAGGCTATAGTCCATGGGGTTGCAAGAGTCGGACACAACTGAGTGACTAACATTTTCACTTGCATACACTTTTCATTTTTCATTCCCACCAAGGACAAAATGTTCTGAGTTAAAATTAAAGCAAATTCTAGGGTAAAATGAAGTGCTTTTGGGGGGGAAGGATTTAATGATTGGTTTAATTCTGTTCCCATCAACCACTGGGTGGGACTGGACTCATCACAGGCATGTCAAGGTGAGCTATCAGCACAACGCAAAGCCCACTAGGACGTGACAACGGCAACCACTGACCACACAAACCAAACAGCAGCAGTTTGTCCCTGCCTCATAAACAGCAGCTGAAAGTCTGTCAAAGATCCCCCTTTCCTAAAAGCTGCCACAGGTTAGAAACTGGAAAGACATCAATTGTACTCTGTGATGAATTCTGTAGCACAGAAAGAATTTCAATACTTAAAACAATCTACCAAAATAAAATGTCAGAAAGCAGTCCTGTACTCACCTTTTTCCTGAACACAAACTGAGAGTTTCTTAACACCATCAACCAGAGCATTTTGAGTGTTGCCATGTCCATCTTCTGAGTCGCTGTCATCAAACTGCGCCTCTATAATGACATCAGGACTGTCATTATAGCCTTTCAGGGACTGTTGCGGAAGCTGGCTTCCACAGAGCTCCTCAGGGAGATCGGACTCATAGGCACCTTCTGTTTCCTTGTCATTGCTCTCCGGTTTAATTACCTGAAGAAAATTGAAATGTTCTGCTAAATCACTTGAGGAGAAAAAGGGAAAGTGCAGATTCTTCTATTTTCATTCTTCTTTCTTAAGGAAAAAACTGCACATTCAAAAGCAATAGATACTCACCATGTAGTTTGAAAAAGAATCTTTATTTCCCAGATGTACAGACTGCCTTATGATCAACCCGGCTCTTCAATATGCCCAAGATTAATGCTATATCCACTTCTCAGTTTTCTGATGTATACTTTCATCCCCTCTCCCACAAAGGACCTGAATACCAGAAGTACCACCCTGCTTCACAAGGGTTCATCACATGGGACCAACCAGGATGTTGAGAAATGATAGAACTCAACACAGTATGTCACTGCATTCCCAAATGAAACCACAAGAACGTAAAATGAAACAGAAACAAAATTCAATGTGAACAAGAGTTTATAAAATGTTCTCATAAAAAATATAAACCCACGGCTGATTCATGTCAATGTATGACAAAAACCACTACAATATTGTAAAGTAATTAGCCTCCAACTAATAAAAATAAATGAAAGAAAAAAATATATATATATAAACCCTTAATTCTCCATTTTGAGACCTGAGATCAGCACAGAAAGCACACAACTAACAGACATTTACACTAGAAATAAGAATGAGTACTATACAATATGTCAAACTTTTTCAACTTTAAAAAATGAAGCAAATAGAAAAGAATCCATTACTAATCCATTCAACAAGTTAGTCAGGTGATACTCATATGACAATACCCTTTGATCTCTATTGGCATGATATTAACATATACCAGTGTTATTTAGCCACTGAAAAAAGGGTGACCCTATACGTAAATCTGCTCATCCACATTAGTAAAAAAGATAGCAGACTGTGTTGGTTATAGACTTTACTTAGAGACTACATCCTTCCAACAATCTATTTCTGGATGAGAAATCTATGTGCAATTTAAACTTATAATCAAGATGTGATAATATATATGTATACATATACATATATATGAAGAAGGGCACAACAACCCACTCCAGTATTCTTGCCTAGAGAATCCCACAGACAGAGGAGCCTGGGGGGCACCAGTCCATCAAGTTGCAAAGAGTCGGACACAACTGAAGCGAATGAGCATATATATATATATATATATATATATATACACATGCTGCTCAGTGTGTGTATACACACACACACACACACATATGAATTTGAATACTATTGGTATTACATTCATTTCATTCTTTCAAGCATATGCTAGAAGGTCAAACTTGTGCCAGGCATCCTTCTGAGGTCTGAATTCTATTGGGGAGACAGATGGTAAACAATTTACTCATTCAACAAATTTTTATGGAATACCTTTCATGGTGCCAGGCACTATTCTAAGTGGGAAGGATGCAGCAGTGTAAACAGCCAAAAGTTTAATAGTGATAAGTGCTAATGAAAAAGCATACATACACACTGGAGACTGAGGCTGGTCTACCAGTAGGGTGGTTAGGGTGGATGCCTCCTGGATGAAGTGATATTTGAGCAGAGACCTGAATGAAGTGAGAGAGCTTCTAGCAGTTTCCCTGCATGTCTATAATTGAGAGGTCTAATCACTTCATGGCAAATAGATGGGGAAACAATGGAAACAGTGACAGACTTTATTTTCTTGGGCTCCAAAATCACTGCAGATGATGACTGCAGCCATGAAATTAAAAGACTCTTGCTCCTTGGAAGTAAAGCTATAACCAACATAGACAGCATATTACTGTCTAGCAGACACATGACTTTGCCAACAAAGGTCCATCTAGTAAAAGCTATGGTTTTCCCAGTACTCATGTATGGATGTGAGAGTTGGACCATAAAGAAAGCTAAGTGCCAAAGAATTGATGCTTTTGAACTGTGGTGTTGGAGAAGACTCTTGAGAGTCCCTTGGACAACAAGGAGATCACACCAGTCAATCCCAAAGGAAATCAGTCCTGAATATTCATTGGAAGGACAGATGCTGAAACTGAAACTCCAATACTTTGGCCACTTGATGCAGAGAACTGACTCATTGGAAAAGACCCTGATGCTGGGAAAGATTGAAGACAGGAGGAGAAGGGGACGACAGAGGATGAGATGGTTGGATGGCCATTGATGTCCTCATTCAATGGACATGAGTTTGAGCAAGTTCTGGGAGTTGGTGATGGACAGGGAGGCCTGGTGTACTGCAGTCATGGGGTCACAGAGTCAGACACAACTGAGCGACTAAATATTTTTCGGAGTTTAACTTTGAGGTTTCAAATTAAATGCTTGCTTTCAACAAACCAGATTAATGTTCAAATTAGATCACAAAAAGATCACACTTAACGAAAGATACTCATTTTATACAGGCAGAAAAAGCTATCAAAAGAAATCTCTCTCCGAACACTATAATGTCACAGATTCCAATTAACACAACTGTCCCCAGACAAAGAATACTATAATATCCACCCAAAAACTCAAAATAAAATATTCCAAAGATATTCACACCATCAAAATATAGAATCTAAAAATATATTCCCAAATTTTTAAAATATCTGACTTCATGAAAACGTCATAACAGAAATAATTGTAAGAAATGGTGAATTTCTGAGCAAAATGGTGCCTTTTAATAAAATCTTTTGAAATCTTGATTTCCAATTTCTGAATATATTTAATGAAATTTTCTTTCAACTCTTGCCTTGTTTTGACTCTTGTCAGATTCACTTGGTCATTCATTAATTTGTTCATTATTTCCATGTTTGTTCATTATTTCCATGTTTGTTCATTATTTCCAAACAAACAAGACTTATTTTCTTTGATAGTAAAAAAAAAAAAAGAGAGAAAAGCTCAACGGACTAAGCCAGAACTTGCTAAAGAGATACCCCTCAGGCTCTTTACTGTATGAGAACATATAAGAGTGGAACAACAGCTAAGTTTTAAATTAATACATAATTTACAAAACCAGTTCTCCTCTATGTGCACTTCACCTTGATACATAAGTCCTGGTTGCACACATGACCCAGAGCATATCATTCAAAAGACAGTACTCACTAACAAATTAGAGAAGAAAAAGAACCTGTCATCTCTCAAATCAGCAAACTCACTCAATTTCCTTAAATGTGCCCAGCAAGTTCAATAACATTTAGGAAGATCTGCCCCTGATGATCCTCAGAATTAACACAACCTCGGGCACTGTCAGAACAGCCCAAAACAGGCAGGAGGTGCACATGTGTACCCTGTGTCTAAAGCACGGTGGTTACAACATGATCACTGGTCTACTGGTCTTTTCTACGAGTCATCCATCACATACTTCATCTCAGAGAGAGGAGTGCTGAGGGCAGGGGTGAGAGACAACAACTGACATGCCAGAGTTAAACTATAAGGTAAAATGCAGTTTTCTGGAAAGATGTTAAACAAAGGTACCAGGCCTTTCAGTTCAGTTCAGTTCAGTCACTCAGTCATGTCCAACTCTTTGCAACCCCATGAGTTGCAGCATGCCAGGTCCATCGCCAACTCCCAGAGCCCACCCAAACTCATGTCCATTGAGCTGGTGAGGCCATCTAACCATCTCATCGTCTGTCGTCCCCTTCTCCTCCTCCCCTTAATCTTGCCCAGCATCAGGGTCTTTTCAAATGAGTCAACTCTTCACATCAGATGGCCAAAGTATTAGCTTCAGCTTCAACAGCAGACCTTCCAATGAACACCCAGGACTGATCTCCTTTGGGATGGACTGGTTGAATCTCCTTGCAGTCCAAGGGACTCTCAAGAGTCTTCTCCAACACCACAGTTCAAAAGCATCAATTTTTTGGTGCTCACCTTTCTTTACAGTCCAACTCTTACATCCATACATGACTACTGGAAAAACCATTGCCTTGACTAGACAGACTTCTGTCGGCAAAGTAATGTCTCTGCTTTTTAATATGCTGTCTAGGTTGATCAGAACTTTCCTTCCAAGGAGTAAGCATCTTTTAATTTCACGGCTGCAATCACCATCTGCAGTGATTTTGGAGCCAAAAAAAATAAAGTCTGACACTGTTTCCACTGTTTCCCCATCTGTTTCCCATGAAGTGATGGGACCAGATGCCATGATCTTAGTTTTCTGAATGTTGAGCTTTAAGCCAACTTTTTCACTCTCCTCTTTCACTTTCATCAAGAGGCTTTTT